CCCCAAAAAAAAAAAAAAAAAAAACTTGAACAACCCGACAATTGAAGAGCATTTTTTTGGAAGGAATATGTTGTCCGCCGAATATACTAGCTTCAAAAATTTGGACTTTAGGTACCAACGAATTTGATATAGAATATTTGTGTCATGGGTGACTACGAAAATTCAACTAGTTTTATTATTATTATTTTTTATTGTTATGATAGAATTTTAAAAGTTTTGTTTCCATTTATGGATAAAATGGTTGGCATTGAGCCATGATTATTTAATTTCCGTTTAGCTTATCTTTCAAAATTAATCTGATGCACACCCCTAAAGTTTTGGTTGACATTTACTAGATAAAATTTAAATTTTAAAATTGAGATAATAAATTACAAAAGCTAGTTTGGTGGTTTCGAGGGAGAGTCGTATATTTGGACGGACCATCTCAAGAACGTATTCCAATTATAAAATACCGGTAAATCCGTTAAAACGGGAAGGTAAATAAACGCCGTATAAGTTGGGATTTTTATTTCATTTGGAAGAGGATTCTTCTTAGCCATTAATTTACGGCAACAGACCCGCGCGAAAATTTCCAGAGAAAGTCTCGTTTTAACCTGTTTATATTCTGTTTGATTTTCTTTTTACGATTCTATTCACTTTCTCTCTATTGGTTCACTCTTGTTTTCCACTAAATTTTGCGCATAAAAACCAAACCTTTTTTCAGAATCAGTCGTTTTGATACCCAACTCATTTTTGCCCTTACTTTTTTTTTTTTTTTGCTTTCTCTGATTTGTTTCTTGACTTGGTGTGATTTTTCAGCTCCAGGATTTTTGGGGCGTCTGTTATATTTTCAGTTTCTTTCCCAAAGTTCAATTTTTGAGTGTGGGTGTGATTGTGTGGACTGGGAAGAAAGACTGAAGTTTTGAGATTGGCCCTTGTGCTCAAGTTTTGATTTTGATAAACACAAACAAATTTTGTGTTGATTTTCATTCATGGGTATTGTTGAAATTGTGGGTTGTTTCTCTGTTTTGTGATTTTGAACTTTGAGTCTTGAGCTAGAGTTAAGAGTTTCGTAAAAATGGATTCAAGAAATGGTACTGAGGGAGTTGAAAAGTCTAGCGCCGAAGAGACGGCCTTTGGCTCAAAGGGGAAGGTTGTGGGAGGTATTGAGCAAGAAGTGTTTTTCCGAGCAGATAAGATTGATTTTAAGAGCTGGGATATCCAGTTAGAGAAGCACTTGAGCAGGGGCTGGGCAAGGGAGAGTGAAGAACACAAGCAGATGGAAGAGTGGGAGATTGATTTGTCTAAATTGGATATAAGACATGTCATTGCTCATGGAACTTATGGTACTGTCTACCGCGGTGCCTATGACGGCCAAGATGTTGCAGGTACTTTGCTTTCTCTTCTGGCTTCAATTGGATTTCCATCTTTTTCTTTTTGCGTTTAATGACATACAGGGTTTGTTGCATACCTAATTCTCCATGTTTCAGTTTTAGACTTTCAAACTTAGTTTGTCGGTTGTCAATGAAATGGAATTAAGAAATTTACATTTTGAGCTGGTACACAATAGGCCATCATCTATAACCGTTTCGTATACTATTAATAACAGATGCCAGGGATTATTATATTGTTTGAGTTGTCTTACCCATCCGTATTAGGAAGTGTTAGTACGCTGGACTTGAATTTCTATTTTTCATTGTTTTTATACTCAAGGGTTACACCTTCACTACTGAAAAGTAGCTATATATGTGTGTGCTTGAATAAGTATAGATAAAAAGCAAAGATTTTTCATATGTGTGTGCTCGTGTATTGCAAGTCTTATGTCTCGTTTATCAGCTTTATAAAATATAAGAAAGTGGTGTTATTTATAGTGATCCTGTTTTTTATTATTTTATCCATATTGTTCTCATGGCCTGCTATTCTTGATATTATAGTGAAAATATTGGATTGGGGGGAGGATGGTATTGCCACAGCAGCTGAAACTGCTGCTCTTCGGGCGTCGTTTCAGCAAGAAGTTGCTGTTTGGCATAAGCTTGACCATCCAAATATTCCAAAGGTAAAAGTTATATCTGCTGATTGTCATATTGGTTGCATGAGACTCAACACCATTTCTTTCAGTTTCAGATACAAAAATGTGATGCAGTTTGTTGATATCTTGTCTTCTCCTTGTTGTCCTAACAGTTTTAACTTTTTAGAATATGTAATGTGCTTTACCAGGTTTACATGATGTTCAATTATTTTCTCATCTGTTTTAAATTTCTCTATTTAAACTGCAACTCATTGTAACTGTGACAGTTTGTCGGAGCTTCAATGGGAACTTCCAATCTCAGAATCCCTACTAAAAGCACATCAAATGATAGTCATAATTCTCCTCCTTCCAGAGCTTGTTGCGTTGTTGTTGAGTATGTTCCAGGTGGGACACTAAAGAACTTTTTGATCAGGAATAGAAGAAAGAAACTTGCCTTTAAGGTTGTGATTCAACTTGCTCTGGATCTCTCTAAAGGGTGAGTCAGGTTCATTTGTTGTTGCGCTGGATTTAATTGTTTGTTTTTGTTGGGTTTTAAACTAATGGATTATGTTCTCTGTGTTCCGCTTTCTCAGTTTGAGTTATCTTCACTCAAAGAAAATTGTACACCGTGATGTCAAGACAGAAAATATGTTGCTAGATACTCGTAGAACTTTGAAAATTGCTGATTTTGGCGTTGCTCGAGTAGAAGCTCAAAACCCAAGGGACATGACCGGAGAGACTGGTACCCTTGGGTACATGGCCCCAGAGGTACTCACTTTTCATTCATCATACCAAGTCTGGTTCTATAAAGGTGGTTTCTGGGTAAATGAAACACAATTATGTTACCAATCCAAAGACTGCTACATGCTAAAGATCTGAAGCAAGTAGCATTCTTCTTTTCTTTTTTATTCCATAGTTTTGCCTTTCCTACAAACTGGATCAGAATTCTAACATGAAGATTTCCGTAGGTCCTTGATGGCAAGCCTTACAACAGGAAATGCGACGTCTACAGTTTTGGTATTTGCTTATGGGAAATCTATTGCTGCGACATGCCTTATCCTAATCTAAGTTTTGCTGATGTCTCATCTGCAGTAGTGCGACAGGTTTGTTTGTCATTACACATAATGCTTTAGGTTCTTTGCAAGATTTTACTGCACATTTGTATTGAAGTAGTGGATTTAGTGCAGCAAAACTTGTTTGTATTGGGTTTTTAAACTATGTTGATCACCTAATGTTGGTTGTAACTTTGTAATGTATACCGTTGCTTCCTTTTCTGTCTTATCATATTCTAAGTTAATGACTATCCCCATATGCTGATGACTCCTAATACTGGGATGGCAGAACTTACGACCAGAAATCCCAAGATGTTGCCCGACTGCATTGGCTAGCGTCATGCGAAAATGTTGGGATGTGAGCCCAGATAAACGCCCTGAGATGGAAGAGGTAGTGAAGCTGTTGTATGCCATAGACACAAGCAAAGGAGGTGGCATGATACCTGAAGACCAGGCTACTGGCTGTTTCTGCTTCGGCAAACGTCGTGGCCCCTGAAGTTTTTCTTCCTTTAATGTTTTATGTAGTCTTATAAATGTGCAGTGCAAATTAAGGGAAAACATAAACCAGTTACCAGTTCAGTCGTTGAATAACCAGATCACATCTCTGAATAATGCACAAACAGCATTTTTGAAACCCATATTGTTGTTTGTGGTTTCATTCCCTCTCATTCTTGCTTCTCCACTCCATGTACCAATGAGTGGAGCCTTGGATATTTTCAATGTAATTAGTTTGGAATTCAAATTTTTACTGCACTTTTGCCTAATGCTTTGTTGTAAGTTGCAACCCAAAGAAAAGGTCTGGCAGTATTTTTATTTTATATATATATATTTAATTCTAGTTAACACACAACTATTCTTTGTACTTTTTTTTCTTGTACAATACAGTGCATATCTAGCTAAGTTTCCACTAGAAATCCCAATGGACCCTTCCAGTTGATTTGTGTAGAGGCTTTAGGGATCTTGGATATGCAATTTGGTGGATATTCTTTGGCTATTGGATTTGATTGATTGCCCATAAAAATGCTTATCCCAAAGTTCACTATTGCTAGTGGACTTAGAGCATGTCCACCCCAAAGGGCTAAGGCAAGGCAAGGGTTGCTACTATTCACGTAAACAGTGGCATCCTTGCCTTTTTCGGTTCCACCCCAAAAGGCTAGGGCTAGGGCAAAAACTATTCATTGTACTTTATTTCTTTTTTTTTTATTTTACTTTAAACCATTAATTTTGGTTGCCACGTGTCCATAATTTTTCGGAAAAGATTTTCGGTTGCCACGTGTCTTATTTCAAATAAAATTTTCGGATATTTATTTTAAAAAAATTATAATCTCAAATTTTAGATAAAATTTTCACCCTCTAAAATTGCGCCACGTGTCCCATGTCAGATAAGATTTTGAGATATTTTTTTTACAGATATAATCTCAGATTTCAGATAAGATTTTCACCCTCTAAAATTGCACCACGTGTCCCCTGTCAGATAAGATTTTCAGATTTAAAAAAAATATATAATATCAGATTTCAGATAAGATTTTCACCCTATAAAATTGCGCCACGTGTCATCTTTATCTTCTAAATCCCTTTATAAAACTACACCCTCAACTCATACCTCTCACAATCACAATGGATGAAGTCAAGATTAATGCCTTGTTTTGTGTGTGGTGTGTTTGGAATTATGTTTTGTTTTTAATTATGTTTTGGGTTATTCCCAGCAATGGTCCCTCAACTATACCTGTAGTTACAGTTTGGTTACTGAATTCAATTATTAGTTGCAGAGGTCACTCAAGTAGGTGTTGTGTTGCACCATTAGTCATTCCGTCAAACTCTGTTAAATTTTTTGTCAAAAGTGAGGGTAAATTCGGAAATTCATCCACAACCCTCCCCTTCATCCACAACCCTCCATTGTTGCAACCCAATCCTTGCTTCTTCTCCCTTGTACCAAAATCTCCACAAAATTTATACTCTCAAACATGAAAGTAATAATACAAAAATGAAGCACAAAACATGTGATTAAATTGTATAACCTTTGAAAAAGGAAAAAAAAGAAAGAAAGAAAAAAAGCAGATGATCTTGCTTACTTCGTTCCAGTGGGATTAAAGGCAATTGAAAAGGCAGCTGTGATTTCATCCACGACATCATAAGCACGATACGTGCAACGTAGCTGCAATTTTAAGCCAAAGAAAATGGTGTTAATGAAATACACAAATATTGAATCCCCAAATACATATCAGAACTTCATATACAAGGAAACAGAGTGATCTAAACAAGGAATAGTCGAATTGTATATGTTGCAATGACATATCAAGGGGTAAACTTTACGAAGATACTAATTTTCTTTGCATAATGAAGACTTGCAATAATGAGCCAGCACCAGCCCAGAAGAAGCATCCCAAAGATGAATTGGATGGTCACGAGATGTTGTTGCAAAAACACTGGTAACTGGGGTTGCAAAAACACTGGTAACTGGGTCTGCAAATGCCAACCAAGATTCCAAATCAAGCTTTAGCTTAGAGTATTACATCAACCGCTATAAAATATATCTTTTGAAGGAGAAGGGAGCCTTTTTCTGCCGAGATTTTGGTACAAGGGAGGAGAAGCAAGGATTGGGTTGCGACAATGGAGGGTTGTGGATGAAGGGGAGGGTTATGGATGAATTTCCGAATTTACCCTCACTTTTGATAGAAAATTTAACAGAGTTTGACGGAAGGACTAATGGTGCAACACAACACCTACTTGAGTGACCTCTACAACTAATAATTGAATTGAGTGACCAAAATTATAACTACGGGTATAGTTGAGGGACCATTGCTGCGAATAACCTTATGTTTTATTTTGTGTGTGGTGTGTTTGGAATTATGCTTTGTTTTGTGTGTTGTTTGGAATAAAATAAGGTTTATTTTTAATTAAACTTTGTTTGCATTTGCAAAAGGCTAGGGCAAGGGCAAGAAAAAAAAAGAATATGCAACAAAATATGAACAATTTAGAAATGCATGAAATAAAATGATTATGCAAGAAAAAAATAAATATGGAAGAAAATATAAACAACTTACAAATGTAAGAAAAAAAAATGATTGCATTTTACAAATATTGGAAGGAGAAGAGTTTGTATGAGGATTTGGTGTGGAAAGTGAATAAAATTGTTGTGTATTTATAGGGAAAACATCCATAATTTTTTAGAATTTTTTTCGATTTTTTTGGATTATTTTTTTGCTCGCTGACGTCAGCGTGACGTCACCGCCTTCAGGATGAAGCCCAGGCAAGATCTGCTCTTGGGCTTGCCCGGGCTGGTGGGACCCAGGGCTTGCCTGGGCTGATTTTCCTGCGTTGGAGGTCCATTTTGAGCTGGGGGGGGCCTGTTGCCCTGGCAAAATGGGCTGCGGTGGACATGCTCTTATAATCAGCCCCCCACCACCCCTCCCCCAATATTTACATGATGAGCTCTGGAAATGAATTGGGCTTGAAAATCAATCAACAAGGAAGCTAAGGGGACCTCCCCTCCAATTTTTTGTTTTTTTGTTTTTTATGTAAATGAATACCTCTCACTTTTCTTTCACAAAAACCCTAGCCGTACTCTGGTCCCTTTTCTCTTTGTCGACAACCAACTGAAAGGAAGCTAAGGGGGGAGGTGGCCACTGCCCCTCCTCCCCTCCGCCCATCTTCCCCTTCCTCCCCTCATCTCCCCTTCTTTTTCTCCCATCTTTTCCCTTCCTCTTATCCCCTCTTCACCTATTCCCCTCCCCAGATAGTCTAGATCTGATCTAGGTCTATTTGTCTGTTTGTTTTGTTTAATTGTTTTTGTAGTGTTCTAGGTGGCTAGTGTTGTCTTTGTCTCGACGGGGTGACAATAGTGATGCTGGATTGTGTCTCTCATCAGGAGAGTTGTGATACCTGGTGACTAATGTTTTGTCTCTGTTTCAACGGCAGCAGCAACAGTGACGCTGGTGGTAGTTGTTGGGATGTGGTGCTCTTCTATACTCTGCACGGACCAAAGAACTATGTTTGGTCATAGGAGGTTTTCTTTGTCCGATTCCGAGTTGAAGTAGAGTGCTTCTCATGGTCATTTTATTGTTGTTTATGTGGTGACACTGGATTGTGTCTCTCCTCTGGAGAGTTGTAATACCTAATGGCTGATGTTTTGTCTATGTTTTAATGGCGGCGGCAGTAGCGACGCTGGTGGTAGTTGTTGTGATGTGGTGCTCTTCTCTACTTTGCGCTGACCAAAGAACTATGTTTGGTCATAGGAGGATTTCTTTGTCTGATTCTAAGTTGAAGTGGAGTGCTTCTCAAGGGTCCTTTTACTGTTGTTTATGTGTTCCTCCTGCATGTTCTCTCTTGGTTTCTGCTATAGTATGGCTTGCAATTTGTGTGGGTGTCAAATGACTATAATTTTGCTCATAGAAGGCTTCTTTTGACAGTTGGGATGTTCTGCGGTTCTCTCATGTGGGTCTACTGTGTTGGTCTACAATTGCGGTTCTCGTCAGAGGTCTATGTGTTAGTTTTCCTAGGATATGTCTTATAAGGTTGTCCTAGGAAGGTTTTAACGAGGCCACTGTATCATGTGGTTCTGTGTACGTCTTTGTTTTTATGAATGAATTCTCTTTCTCAACAAAAAGGAATGAGGGACAAGATCTAAGAAATAAGAGTAAAATGGGGGCATGTTTTATATTATTTGAAACTTTCAGGGGTTGACATGATAATTTCGAAAATGTTATTTATGTTGAATATTTTGTCAGTAACTAAATATTGCTATAAAGAGTGAAAAACCAGAGCAGCGAGCCAGCGAGGCGAGGCGTTGTGGGTTTTAGAGTTGGTTTTTGCAGTTCATCCACAATTACAAAAAGTGAGCAAACAGATTGCAGAGTGGCTGTGTCCTCCTGAGACTTTGACGACGAAATGGGCAGCGTCGAAACGCCGTCGTTGATGAGGGACTTGCTCAAGCAGGCAGGGGGCGTCGCGGTGGTTGATGGTGGACTTGCCACCGAGCTCGAACGTCACGGCGCTGACCTCAACGATCCCCTGTGGAGCGCTAAATGCCTCCTCACTTCCCCTCACCTCATTCGAACGGTACCCTCATCTCTCTCTCTCTCTTGTAAATGCAGCACCGGAAATGAAATGGCTTTGTTTTGTAGTCTGATGAGTGTAGGCGTATGCATAAATGGGCTTTGTGTTCGAAAAATCAGCCTAGGCGGGGCTAGGCGGCCTGGGCGGCTCTAGGCGGCCTAGGCGGCGCTAGGCGGCCTGGGCTGCTCTAGGCGGCCTGGGCGGCGCTAGGCGGCCTGGGCGGGTCGGGTCTTTTTTTTCCTGACTTTAAAGAAAACCTCCTCACGCTGCCTCTCTCTCTCCCCTGAGTGACGGGGATGTTGAGTTTGAGTTTTTTCCAAATATAATAGCATTCTATTTTAATATGGATTATGAGTTTTCATTAATGAATTTGGACCACTGTTGTCAGATTTTCAGATTTTTCTGGAACAGAGGGAAACTCGTGCTGACCAAGATTAACATGAGAAAACTTCTTGCTCTAATTTGATTATTTTTGTCTAGTGAATAATGACTTCTATAAGCCAATTACAACTTCGATGTGTATAAAAAGAAAAGAAAGGAGATTGATTTAAGTAATAATTTCTTTACTCTTCTTTTTGGTCTTTCTCTGAAAATAACCCTTTGTTTTATTGCTTAATGGAGCAGGTTCACCTTGATTACCTTGAAGCTGGTGCAGATATCATAATCACAGCATCTTATCAGGTAAGGCCAGTTGCCAA